ACAGTTTTCGCATAACCTTCGCACTTTCTGGGGTGAAAAACTTAGCTTTTTATTGGGCGGTGTGAAAAGCTTATCAAGACTTCAAAACGGGGTGAAAATAGATATTTTCACTAATACTTAATTATTATTTTATTATAAACGTTGTTGTCATATAATGTCATTATCATTTATAAAGATATAGAAGTTGTATGTATCTTTTTATTTTTATTTTATGTAATGAAAAATATTTAATGCACGTTAGTATTATTTATTTATGATCAATTTAAAATATGTACATAAATTTAAAATTAAATATTGTATAAATATTTTACAAAATATACACATGTTTTTTTAGAATTTAATTTTGTATAGTAGTTAAATAACTTTGATTTAAAAATACCAAAAACTCAATTCCTTCTATGATCAAGATTTTTTTAATTCGCATTATAAGGATTTATAGTTTATTCAGCATACTTTTTTTTCCAAACGACATCAACTCTCATTAGAACCAAAATAAAAGTTATGTTCAACATACAACCAAGAAATCACAGCACCTGGGAGGACTAGTACCAACTTGTACTTCCTAACCGAGACATCAGAAACATAATCATCACCAGGGCTATCATCTAGCCAAAACAGGACTAACCAAATTATAGAAATAGCAAAAGAAAATTAAGAAAGACTACACAACTGAAACTAGACCTAGTACATTCTTCCTTGATCTCCTCTTAGCTCTTGTTGCAATTCTTAAACTACAGCCACTGCTGGATGGCTGACTTCAGGATCCAGTTTTCACACTGCCAACAGTTCTCAAACACCCAAAGGTTCCTGGCTCTCCATAGCCACCACAATATGTATGTTGATAGCTCAATCCTATCTTCATAAAAATTTACAGCTTCTTCATGGAGCTTAGCCACCACCACCATTTTTTAAACTGAAGTCTTTCTTGATCTACTTTGTTCCATTGTACAAAAGCCAACCTCCATGTTCTCTGTGCTCTGCTGCAAAGAAACAAGGCATGCTCCACTGACTCTTCAGTTTTTCCACACACTTTGCAGATTGGGTCCACCCTCATGCCCCTGTTGATCAAATTCAAAGTAACAGGCAAAATATTATTAAAACACCTCCAGATGAAGTGTTTAATCTTTCTTTGGACTTTTAGCCTCCAACATCTGAGCCTTGCTTTGCTATTATTCCCTGCAATCTTGTTGCATTCTGCCTTCATTCCCAGACAGATCATTTCTTTCATTAAAGAAGCATAGGCAGACTTGACAGAAAATGAACCTTTCACAGTAAAGGAGCATTTCCAATGGTCATCTGCTCTGGGATTTAGAGTTTTTATCTGCAATATTTTAGCAGCAGTATCTTCATCAAATAGAATTTTGATCAGCACTTCATCCCACTCACACCCACTTGCCACTAGCAGATCATTCACATTAAACAACTGCCCCTCCACTTGAACTCTCATCTTTAGTTTGCCCCCTCTTATCCCAGGAACCCAGTTGCAGTCACTAAGCTTAGTGTTCACCCCATTTCTAATGATGATGCTAGCATGCTTCTGGAGTATTGGTATGAAAGTAATCCAGGAATTCCATAGCCAAGAAGCCCCATTTGATTTCTGGCATTAAATAAAGAAGAAGAATAAAAGTATTTTTGTTTCAGAACCTTTGACACCAACAGATCAGGATTTTGGATCAGTCTCCACAGTTGCTTTACGATTAGGGCTTTATTAAATAACTTTATGTCTTGAAACCCAAGCCCACCCTCCTGTTTTGGAATAGTGAGTTTATTCCAAGCAATCTAGTGCATCCCCTTAGTTTGAACATCCCCCTTACTCCACCAAAATCTAGCAATCATCCTGCAGAACTTAAGACATAAATGTTGAGGTAACACAAAGCAAGACATAACAAATATTGGCAGGGCATTCAATACTGACTTCACCAGAACCTCTCTCCCAGCTGTGGAAAGAAAGTTGTTCTTCCAGCTCTCAATTATGTCCCTCACAGCCTCCACCACAAACTGGAAGGCCTCAGCTTTAGAGGTCCCAATCCCAAGAGGTAAGCCAAGATATCTGGAAGACCTCTTGACAACCACCCCTCTCAGAACAGAGCACACTTGATTTTTCAGAGTCTCAGTACAATTTTTGCTAAAGAACAAGGATGATTTGTTTATGTTTACCTTCTGGCCAGCGAATTGATGATATTTCAGCAGAATGTTCATAAGAAGTCCAGCATGATAGACATCAGCCTTGCAAAAAACCAAAGAATCATCTGCAAACAGTAAGTGTGATAGCATAGGGCCATTTTTAGACACTTTAACTCTTTGAAACATACCATCCCTCACTTTAGCATTCAGCATAGAAGAAAATAGCTTAGAGACCAGAATAAACAGGTAGGGTGACAGTGGGTCACCCTGCCTTAGTTCCCTAGAAGGAGACACAATCCCACAGTTTTCACCATTCAGATTAAAAGAAAAGGTTGAGGAGGAAATACAACTATAAATCCACTTGATAAAAACAGCATGAAATCCCATTTTAGCCATAGTTCTCCTAACACATTCTCATTCAATTTTGTCGTAAGCCTTCTCCATATCTAGCTTTATTACCATAAAAACATTAGGACCATTTTTTTGTCTATGCAAAAAATGGAAGACTTCGTGTGCAAGGATGACACTGTCAAGCAGCTGCCTCCCAGGGACAAAGGCAGTTTGAGAATAACTCACACACTCATTCAGGCAAACTTTAAGTCTCTCAGCAATTATTTTGGCCACAATCTTGTAGAGAACCCCACAAAGACTTATGGGTCTGTAATTACTCAATGTCTCAGGAAACAAGCATTTGGGGATAAGAGTAATTACCGTATGGTTCCAGTTCTTCAGTAAGTTCCCATGAGAAAAGAAGTTCTTTGTAGCATAGCAAATATCATCTTTAATAATCTCCCAGAATTGTTGGAAGAATGAGGCAGACATGTCGTCTTCTTCTGGAGCTTTGTCAGAGGACATGC